GAGTCTTCTTCAAAAGCCATTAGCATCACTCGGATTGCAGGCGGACAAACCACTCCCAAATCATCCAGGATTTTAGGTGCCAAGCCCTGGTCCGCCGCCACCTGCTCCAGTTGAAGCAACATTTGATGATCTGAAGACATTTGAGTCGCTGTAGCCTGCAACAGTCAAGGTGGTAAAAACACATTGGATCGCAATAATGGATTGAATAGCCAGAGCATCAATGACAAAGATGACCAGGACATCAACGAAACAGCGCATTAATGAAACAGGACATCAAAAACAAATGAGAAACAACGTACTGTAATGGTCCAGGCCTGTTGAAATGCAGGATCTTCCGATAGAATCCCAGAATAGCAGTCAGGTGGAGCTGCTGCTTTGGATATTGACCAAAGTCTCTGTTTAAGCAGTAGCTGTGACAGCTCCAAGATCTTTGATGGTGTGTCCTCAAACTTTGATCGCTGAATGATTTTCCTCAGTTGCTGATCTCCATAAATTGGAACTCTTGCAAGCTCAACCAAGTGAGGCTCCCTTGTCCATTCCGTTTGTAGAGTTGCAAGCTTCTGAATTTGGTCTCCAGGTGTTTTGATGTCTTTGATTGTATCTGAATACCAATCCCATATAGGGCAAGTGCAGAGGCAAATCACTTGTGTCATAATGTGCAGCCTATCCGACATCAAATAGTAACATAGGCGAAGTCCACCACCTAGCTTTTCCTTCAACCTAGCAAATTCCTTGCGCATCGAAGTTTGTTCAGTGGAGTCCTTGGCCATTTGCTCCAGCTGGCGTTTGTGATATGCCTCATCTGGATCCAAGTTCTGACTCCGAAAGTGATATGACAGGATCACTTTCACCGCTGTCCATTCAGGCAGTTTCTCCTCTGCAGAGGCATTCCACGAAAACCATCTGGATAATTTTGGTAGCGACTGCTTATTGCAAAACCCACTCATTGAAGGGAGCGCATTCCAAACATCAGATGGATGCTCCGCAGACTCAAGACCAAGTTCATCTTTGATCTGCTCCCAGGAGTCCATGAACTCAGGAACACTGGACCAAGTTTCCCTTGCCATCATGAGTTCTAAGAGCCGCTTTTTTTCCTCGAAAAAGCCAGAGGAACCAAAAGGTCTGTACGCAACGCTGAAGAGGTACTGACTATGAAATTGCATTTGCAGATACTCACCTGAAGAACCGTGCAACAGCGCCAGTTTCACATCACGGATAGATCGATGGATGACATCCCACCGAGCCAGTATGAGCTTCTTCATTTTGTGAATGGCATACCTGGGCGACGCTGAGCAAAGTCATGCCAACTCATGGACTCATGGTTTGCATGAACATTTATATTATATATATTACACCTCATGGTTCAGCACATCAGCAATATTCCAAACCTTCATAAAATTCTGCTTGGTCACGCGGCTCCCCCACAACACGTTGGACCCTGGTCCAACTGGAGTACAAGAAGTGGGATGTGGTTCCACCATGCACCATCATTTGGCAAGAGCTTAGTGACCTCTCCAGTCTGAGTGTTTTGATGTCCTGCTCGTATCCTGCCATTCTCCAAGTGCTTCACACGTGTGCTACCTTTCCGAACAGGATGAATGTGGACATTGGCCGGAGTAGTGAAGAAATCAATATTTGGGATCCGTGCATTGCTCAAGAAGTTCAATTGTTGAGACATGGCTTGGATCTGACGGTAGGACGCAAGCCTCTCCAGTTTGTTTTCCTCAACAGGGTTGTTTGATGTGTAATGGCGTGTCACCACAAAGTCTTCCCTTAGTTAGTGCTGTAGCACTCCAAAATAAATAGCACCCAAACATAGACTTCTGACATCAAGTTAAACCAAAAATTCATTGAAGTCAGACCTCACTTTAGTAAGGACCTGCCATGATATGACAATTGCAACAGCTAAGTGTCCTGAGCTAGTTTTTCCACCAACGATGTCATCTCCATCTCCATGGGGGCCACCTTGTTCCCAGGTAGTATTACCTGAATAGTCGCAAATGCAGCCGTGGAAGACTCATGACTGTAGCATATTGATACAAGCACCTCTTTGCCACCATGTGTTGAAGCATCAGCCACCAAATTGTAATGCATTGCACCAACTAGGGACAGCTGAACCCTTGAATCATACAGGTTCAGCGCCCTGCGAACCCATGAAGGCACTGCTGTTGGCCGACAACCAGCAACCTTGCTCAGTCTTCCACCAGACAGCAATTGGACTGCTGCTCTCATTGAAACGCCCGTGTCTCTGGCTTCACTGAACAATTCATATATTGCATCTGGAGTCATAGAAACCCTGCTGGATTTTCTTCTGACCAGTTGGCCAGCAGGCACAATAGCATCTTCTGCTTGCAAAGTTCTGCGTCTGGATGGAAGCACTCCAGAAGTGTCATGATTTGCCATGTACTGCCCCTTGACAAAGTCGTCTATGCCTTTTGCAACAAACTCAATCAGCCCTGCCTGAATCTTCCAAAGTATAGAGCCAGTTACACTGTTCCTCTTCCACGGATGACTCCCTGACAACTTCCGTTTCCGTTCCACTGCAAAAACAAAGCGAAGCAAATCCTGTAGCGCACACATGGAATTGGCATCACTGATGATTTCAGAAGACAGCTCTCCAGTCTCACACATCGAGTTCCACTCTTTCTGAAAGGCCGTAAAACTGGCACGGTGATGGGAAGAGAGCAAAATCTCAAGGTCTGAAACCATGCCTGCTGATGAGATGTACAAACTGATCATGTTTTCAACATCTATGCTGGTTGTCAAGCCAATCGTGGAAATGACCTGTTGACATATAGCTGGTAGCCATTCAAAAACCAACTGCCGCGAGCGAGCTGTTCTGGATTCCTTCAAGATGACATAGAAGTATGCCACAATTGCCTTTGTTGTTGCACAGTTCTCACGGACCGCATTCGCTGGATGGCTGCTTTGGTTGGTGTGACAGAAGAAATCACCACAAAGCTCCGTTTCTCCAACTTTCTCTTTGAGAAATTGGATCCATTTGTAAAGACTCCTTTGTTCACCACCATGCTCTTTGAACTTGTCATATAGGAAGTCCAAACGCCACCACAGTTGACATTCACCTGTGTTTGTTGTCACAAGATGCCCTGATTTGGATAAGAGGTTTGGATCCTCATCCAATTTGAGCGGTTGACATTGGCTCTGCAATAACATTGATACATAAAATTTAATAGCGCATTCAAATGAATCCAAACTACAGTTGACTGAATGAACAAAGGAGCAAATGAATGAATGCAAAGTCTTCTAGTTTTGAAATGACTAGCACTTGACTCCATGTTTCAATTGTCCATTCTTCATTGTCCAACATAGCTGATGATTATCCTTGATGAGCAAAGGACACGATGGAAAGAACCGTTTGTTTTATGTATCAACGCGTTGTTGCGTGAGCCAAGACAAACTGATTTTGACTGCAATGTAACACATCACTGTAACAAACCACCATCAAAGAATATGTGACACAAAAAATGAAGATCATGATCCATTTAATGAATTCAGTCACCATGAAAGCACCTTCATGTAAGCACAGTGAATGGCTGAGGAGATGACCCAGTTGATCGCTAGCCGCTGAACCTGGCAAAAGAAAAAGCAAAAAGAAGTCTGCACTGCTTTGATCACTAGGCCTAGAAGAACGTTTTCTGCAATCTTTGTTTGCTGATCAACAGTGGACACAGAGACTGCACATGTAATTTTCTGAGGCCACACCAAATGAAACGTCTCACTGTGAAACGCGCTGCAACATCAGGCAGACTTCCTCAATCACTTCTCGAATCTCAGTTAAGGCCATTGTCGGAACATCATCATCTTCACAATCCTGGACAATTGTGTCCAGCAACTTCATGGACATGCTCAGCTGATCACAAAGACACTTCGCCCCAGGACTGTCAGCAAGAGTAATCAGTGGTTTGGAAACCAAAGGCATACGAAGCGGAAGTTGCCCGAGCTCATGAAGCATGATGGATGGGAAGACTGGCCAGCAAAACGGACGTCTTCCTTTTGTTTCAGGCAATTGACAAAGCGCCTTCAACAGCATCAGATCGGACCAAAGTGCCGCCAAAGGTTTCAGCATCACACGCTCTCCAGTATAGCAAAGGATTTTCTCAATACTCTCCTTCAAACTCTCACATCCTGCCATTTCTTCTTCAATCTGATCGAAGCCAAACATCACCCGCCGCTTGTCCAGCCAAAAGCAAAATACTTGTAAAGCATCTGAGGGACCCGATGGATGCGCCATGACAAAATTGGCTCTATATGCAAGTCAACAACTTGATGTAAATAGTGGCTACAAGATGAAGTGAGTCCTTTGAATGGATGACTGAATTTTTCGAGTCCACATTTGCTGAGAAGAATGTACTGCATCAATCAAACACGACAATAAAGAGAGTGAAGAACCTGGCCTCAATAAAGAGAGGGAAGCCTTGGTAGATGGTATACTGGCTCAACCTCAGCGCCAGCAAACGTCTTAGTATTGTGAATGGCACAGAGCGTGTCATCCCTACAGTGGCGGAGATGTGTCATATGTTATCACACAAATGCATCAATGCATGGGTTTAAATGTGTGTTCCCTGATCTTGCATAGGCTCCATGAGCATCAAACTCTTTTGTCACTGCACTCCAGAATTGTGTCAATGAATTGGGTTCAATTAAATTGAATTGGAGAGGCTATGCGGCTATGCAAAATTCACACTTGCCTTTGATGGAGAAGTACTCAGGGCCTCCGTGCCTCCAGCAGAGCAGAAATCACACTGCGGCCAAACTCCAAGGTGTATTCCTGTGACTCCTTCAGTAGCTCCTTCCGTCCAGTGAAACCACCTGAAGTCTGATCTTTTTCAGCAAGCGCTGATGCTTCTATACATGCCACTGATAGTCGATCCCTTTTCATTCTTGTCATGTATGGGCAGCTGCTCCATAGTTGTAATGGCTTTAATGTTGGAGCTCCGAAGTTGAAGTGAAAGGTTTCCGTTTTCCTTCCCCCAATGTACTCCAACACTGCACGGATTGCAGGCGTGCAGGGCATCACGCTACTCGATGGCTGTTCCATGCCGTCCTTCAGAGATAGCAAAAAGCCCAGGAGGAGTACAAGACCACTCAAGTCAGCTAAAACGTTGCCTTCCTGCACACAATACCGCTGGATGTCACCAAGATATTGGTTTTCAAAAGTCCGCTTGCAGACCGATGATGAAAGGATGACAAAGGTAGAGCATGGTGTAGCCACCCACAACAATGCCCCCGCCAAAGTGGCTGTCAGACAAGACAAAAGCAGCTTGAGTCCATACGCCTGTAGAATGTCGTGGTCCTGGTTCATCTCTATGTCCAACGATGCCCCCTGCAGACCTGCTTCTATGGCAGCCCTTGAAAGGTTACCCTTTCCTGCAAATACTTCCAAGTATTGTAACCAGCACCGTCCATTTCTTCTGTGATGGTGGGTCCTGATGAGAAGCGCAACAAGCATTGCCTCCAGCGACCACCCCAGCATCCATGGATAGGCCTTCTCAATGTAGCGTGGCCACGTTTGTTGACACCTACCTCCACAACGGTCATCAACACTGAAGAAATCCTTCAGTTGTTCTGTCCACTCTTGCACTTGCTCTGGTTCCTCACTTGTGATCACACCATTGGGATCAAGAGGAAACTCCTCTACTGCAGCCATTGATTGCTGATCAATCAACCTGCTCGTTTCCAGCAACTTTTGATCCACTATTGCTTCTCTTTGCTGGATTGCTTTGATCTGCTCCTGAAGCCGTGCCACTCCATTCACATTTGCTCTGCTAGTCATGGCCTCGCCCAACCACTGTCTTGTTTGTATCTTTCCAGTCATTCATTGTTCATTTCGTGTTTACTTGTTTCTGTTATTCTGTTTGTTTCTCTCTTCATTTGTCTCATTCATGCATGTTTGAGACATTTTGAGACAGTACTGTGTGTTTGAGACAGTTTGAGACATTTCGAGACATTTTGAGACAGTTTTGAGCAGTTTTGAGCAATTTGAGAAAAAACTCTCCGGGCAGCAGCAAATGTTCTCTACTACTGTTCTCTACCAGCAATTGCATTGTCAGGCCTATCTTACAGGAGTATCCGGTGAACAGTGACTCCAGTGAACATGCACGCAACTCACAATGAATGCAAAGCAAAGCATTGAATGCAAATGAATGCAAATGCAACTCTTGATTCCAATGACAAGCAATGAATGCACATGCAGAAACTGAATGCAATAGAATGCAATAACTCCGATGTACTTGAATGCAAACTGAAGAATGCTGAATGCTCACACGCTGAAGAATGCTTGAATGCAAACACTCCAAATACTCCACCAGACAGATTTTTCTTTTTTTCCCTCCCAGCTCACAGAGGTACTCCCCTGCCCGTGGGCTAAGGAACACTGCTCAAATTAGTTTGGATCCTTACACTCGCAGACTGCTCCGATCCTAGAGTGGAAACTCACGCAACAATGAACATAGAGACGTCACCAAGTTTGGACTTCACCATAGAGACTTCATAGAAACTTCATACATACTTCCTAGAGACTTTAATGTTCTTCTCCTTCTCTCCACTCACCCATTCATTCCACAGCCTGCTCACTCCAGATTGTTACTGGATCAAAGGATCATTGGTGCCAACATTGGCGGTGCTGCTGCTGCTGCTGCATTGCCTTGCTGCCCTTGCCCAGGACCATTCGCTTGAGCTGCCACATTCACATTGCACTTGAAGGGGCACCACCCCCTTTGATGTCCACCCACATTCCAGGCGTCCTCCAAGCAAGCTGAATGCCACACGTGTCCACATACCAGCATCTGTACCTCCTCCGATTGTGGCCTCAGTGATTGTTGACAGATTGCACAAAGTGGCTCTTCATCTCCATGATCATGAGCACCACCAGCATCTGCGATGAGGTTAGGCGGAGCAGCAGGCTCATCAGAGCTATTGCCGCCAATCTCACTGGCCTCACAATACACACACATGTCTCAATTCAAGAGGTTGCATTAAACATAACACGCTTGAAGCTTGCCAATGTCCAGTCCAGGCTTGGGGGTACAAGGCAGTGCAAGGGTTTGAGAACAATTGGAACCATGATTTGATAATGAATGGACATGCCAAGATCAAACAACACGATCTATCAATAATAGTCAAGCAACCTGAGGAACTGCATTGCCATCATTGCCATCATTCCCATTCACCTCGTTGCCTTCATCCAAGGGCATGGCAGCCTGACCCAATACACCCATCACAGCAGGAAGAGTAGGTGGGCGAGGTGGTGGTGCCTTTGCATCCGGAACGATAGCAGCCACAGGCACTCTGGCATTGGGATTGGGAGGTGGAGGCAGAGGCATCCCAATCCGACCAGCAGCAGGCACCTGTCCTGCTGGTGCAGGTCCGGCTGCTTTGAGCATGTCAGGGATGAGGCGGTTTCCCGCCAAAGCAGCCTGGAGGTCTGCAGCGACCGCTTTGGCCCCTCGCCCTCTGGCTTTTGGTTCAACCTCTGTCATCCAGTGGTCACACCATCCTTGGGCCTCAGATATTGCCTGGACAAAAGCATCTGTGAGAAGCGGTTCCTGCCGAATAGCTGCCATGGCCTGTTGCATCTCAGAGGAATTCTGCAGGATCAATTGATGACGCTGGCACAACCTCGTGTAGAGTTCACCGTAGCTGGATACCCTCAGACGGCTGATACACACAGATGGTTTCTGTCTTGTGAGCAGCCAGATCAAGCGGCAAAGTGATAGCAGGCTCAAACTGGATGTTGCCGTGGGATCAAGATGCTCATCCAGTGCTTCGATACACTCTGAAAGGTGCTTCTGCAGGGTTGCATGCAAAGTACAAGTCCACACTTGGAGGTTCAATTCAATGAAGACACTGACAACCATTTTGGTATTCACCAGTATTCCAAGACCTGGCCTAAACAACATGTTTGACCACTGGTGTCCTTGGGGAGCGAGCGAATCATGGCAGCACTGCGAGTGATGATCTTGTCCACACTCGTTTGGTAGAGAGCACTTCTCCGCTCCTTCAAGTTGTGGATAGCCACAGCTGCAGCATCTTGGAACGGGTCCGCACCTGCTGATGAAGAACTGATTGGTGGACAAGTCATTGGAGATTGGACTGGCGCAGCCTTTGCCTGTGATGCCGCCCCCTCATCCGATGATGAACCATCGTCAACATGT